TTACAGACCAGTCAAAAAACCAATGTTGACTAAAAAGCATTAGCAAAAGAGGCAGATTTTTGTTTTGGTTTTTAATTAATATTAATATACTTCATTTAGATCAAATTTCGCGTAGAATCACTTAAATTGGACTTTTACTAAATGGAAAATAATTTTTTTCAGCAATAAATCAAAATTTAACATCTTTAATTCTGATGGGATGTGCACAGTACGTCGCGAAAAAGAAAATCGTTTGTATCCGCGTAACTGCCAAGCGACTGTGAAGCATGGGCGTGGGTCAGTAATAATTTGAGCGTTCTTTTCAGGATTTAGACTAAGATCTTTTCATGAAATTCATCAAATAATAGCCCAACATGTGTACAAAAAAATTTTAGAGAGCCATATGGTACCCCATGGCGGATGAAAAATGTCGCTCCGACGGGTATATCAGTACGATAACGACCCAAAACACACCTTAAAGCTGATAAGAGAATGGATTTTGAAAAATGGAATTCCAATTTTAGATTAGCCAGCCCAAACACCTGATTTTAATTGAATTGAGAACATTTTGGTATTCTCAAACGTCGCTTTGGGGGTCGAAAAGTTTCCAATTGTTTGAGGTCATGAAAGATGAATGGTGTAAAATTCCAAATAGTTTTATTAACAATTTAATATCACCTATGACCCGAAAGTGCCCAAGTAATAAAAAGCAAAGGGCTTTATACAAAATTTAGAAAAATAATACAAAAATTTAATATAATAAATAAAGTTGCTATTGTTCTGCACAGCCGCATTTCGCAATATTTTATTATTTGTGTGAATTAATTAACCCGTTATGAAGAATTGTAGATTTTGTTGTTTTTTTATAATAGCTAATACAATAACAAATAAAACTGTGTATTTAGATTTTTGAATGAAAAGTAAAAAGTAGACAAAAAACTTATTTATTTGATGGGCAAATTTTGGTTGCTTTTGTTATGCACAGCACTGTATATATTATATATATAATACATTATATATAGATATATATAAAATTATAAATATATAATTATTATATATTATTATGATATATATTATTATATATATTATTATATATATACTATTATATATATATTATTATATATATATTATTATATATATATTATTATATATATATTATTATATATTATGCTATAACTAAACTACACTGCACACATAACTTCATTTTATCCGCAATCCAACCCAGCTTACAATTTAAAGTTGCTATAGTAATATATAAACTTTTGCCAGAGAAGCTAGAGATTTATGTTATGTTAAAGAAATCAATTTAGATATATCACAATCGTTTGCTGTTATAGCCATAGTTTGCAGGCCGGGACTAGTGCAATTTGTACTGAAAAACCGCAAATAAGCACTGGACTCGACCTACACATAATGACAACTTTTTCACTGTTTACACTTTATACACTCATATATTGATCCATAATGTAATGTCAACATCTATTTAACTGGAAACTGCCTGGAAAAAAACATAATTTATAATATAATTGAATTATTAATTATTTCACATTTAAATTTTTCATTACGTTCATAACTCATTTTGAAAAATTTTAGTTTCGAATCTAAAACTGATTAACTTAATGTACAATTAAGTGCAAGTGCTTACTTTTGGTAAAAAAATTAGATTAAGTAAGCAGACTAGATTAACATAATCATTAATGTAATGGGTGTAAGTGTAATGGGTTCTGCTAAAAACATAAAATTGATACCAGTAGTATAATCCCCTTTTAAAAATGATGTGTTAACGAATTTCACCTACAGACCCGAAAGATCTAGGTCTAAAACCCATCAACTCTAAGGAATTGAATTAAATGCAAATTTATAGCTGAATGTAAATCAAAAGAAAGGGATGAAGGCATATTCTGCGAAAGAGTTTTCTAAATTGTTACTCAAAGCAGTTCGAAGAGTAAATTATGGTTACAAGTGAGAAACCTTCGCGCAATTAACAAAAGTATTCATCCGACAAAGTACCCCCTAGCGGAAGCAGGAATTTTGGAAGTAAAAAAAAGTTGAGTAACACCTACAACAGAACTCTAGAGAAACACTACAGAGAAAGCACTATATGATAACTCGAAGTCAGCACGTACCCGAAAACCAGTCAAATAAGTTAGATGACACTACATGACATTTTCTGGAAGTACAATTAGAAAAGCTTCAAACATATTCTATTATCTATCATTTTCCTAGAAGATATCAAATCCTTTTTCTATATCTGGAATGCTTAAAAACGATAGGCCATGAAAAAAAAAATCAAAAAAAAAAATATCAAAAAAAAAACAAAAAAAAAACATAAAAACAAAAATCAAAAACAAAAAAAATCAACAAAACAAAAACCAAAATCAGAAAAAAATGAAAAAAAAAATACAAATAAAAATCAGAAAACAAAAAGAAAAACAACAAAAAAGACAAAAAAAACAAAAAAAACAAAATAAAACAAACATCAAAAAAAAATCAAAAAAAATCAAAAAAAAAACAAAACAAATCAAAAAAAACCAAAAATCAAAAAATCAAAAAAAAAAAACAAAAATCCAAAAAAACCAAAAAAAAAAAAAAAAAAAAAAAAGAAAAAAATCAGACAAAATAAAAAAATCAGACAAAATCAAAAAAATCAGACAAAAACAAAAAAACGAAAAACAAAAAAATTAAAAACTAAAAACAACAGAAAACGAAAAAGAAAAAAATTAAGAAAAGAATTAAGAAGAATTAAGAAGAATTAAGAAATTAAGAAAAAAAAAAAAAAGAAAAACCAAAAATGAAGAAAAAACAAAAAAAAATTAAGAAAAAACAAGAAAAAAATTAAGAAAAAACAAACAAAAAAAATTAAGAAAAAACAAAAAAAAAAATTAAGAAAAAAATGAAGAAAAAACAAAAAAAAAATAAGAAAAAACAAAAAAAAATAAGAAAAAACAAAAAAAATAAGAAAAAACAAAAAAAAATAAGAAAAAACAAAAAAAAATAAGAAAAAACAAAAAAAAATAAGAAAAAACAAAAAAATTAGAAAAAACAAAAAAGAGAAAACAAAAAGGAGAAAAAACAAAAAACAAAAAGGAGAAAAAACAAAAAACAAAAAGGAGAAAAAACAAAAAGGAGAAAAAACAAAAAACAAAAAGGAGAAAAAACAAAAAACAAAAAGGAGAAAAAACAAAAAACAAAAAGGAGAAAAAACAAAAAACAAAAAGGAGAAAAAACAAAAAGGAGAAAAAACAAAAAGGAGAAAAAACAAAAAGGAGAAAAAACAAAAAGGAGAAAAAACAAAAGAAATAAAGATAAAAAAAAATGAAGAAAAAACAAGAGAAATAAAGATGAAAAAAATGAAATAAAATTGAAATTAAATTAATTAATAATTAAAATTAAAATTACAAATATTTAAAAATAAAATTTCTAAAAAAATTTTAAAATAAATGTAAAAAATTAAAAGAAATTGAAAAAAATTAAAAGAGAAAATTAAAAAAAAAATAAAAGAAAAAATTAAAAAAAAATTAAAAAAATAAATTTTAAAAAAACAAAAAAAAAATTTAAAAAGAATTTCAAAAAATTAAAAAAAATTAGAAAAAGAAACTACAAAAACCGAAAAAATCAGGAAAGTTGAGTGAGAATAGTACGAAATTTATATACAAACGAATACACATTGCTGAACGAATATTCATAAAATCGATATCTCTGGGTTTTAGTGAAATATATTGGGAAAAAAAAAAAAAAAGTAATGTAAAATATTTTTAGTCTAAGTTAACTGTTATTTTAAGCAAATTCAATGCGCATTGGCGGTTCTGTGTTTACACAGCTTGGCATAATTGATTCTTTTGCCGCAACATAAACAAATTATGCTTAATAAATATGCAAGTTTAATTAAAATACACGGATTTTGTATTTAATCGGTTTCATCAATTGCTGCTTAAACTTAAATATGCCTTAACAATAGTAGAGGAAAATCACATATCCGACGATCTCTCTCATTGGTAATTTATAGTAAGCATCTGATCTGAAGTGCTGAACAGTATATAACTGCCTAACTAAAATAAATATAACATTTATAGGTTCTTCAATTAATCATCATTTTTATATGATTTCCATAAACGAAGAAAGACTTACGGGGGCCAGCAGCCTGCTACGTTTTTTTTTTTTGTTTTTTATATTACAATTTATTATGTTTAATATTTTCAAATGTTAGTAACAAGATCTTTGCTTTGTTATTTTACCTCGCAGGATGGAAATAAATTTTAAAATGACCACACACGTGTACGTTTCTCTATTTGCGCTTTATAGCAATGTAAAAAAAAATGTATATGTATATGAAAATTGCCTGAGAAGGAAAATTAATAAAATTAAACAATTTTTGACACTAAATAATAAAAATTAAATTGCAAACCTTCCATAAGTTGAATATTTATTTCTTGCTTATTACCTCCTCATCAGCGTGTGATAACACACGGTAACGTACGTAACTTTCATTCAAAAACTCCAAATAAGGTAAGTATTACGGTGATGAACATATTGCGCTCTTCTTACTGTTCTAGAATAGCCTCTTAGTAATATGTGTTGTATGCTGTTGCACTATTGAAATTCTTGTAATCTTGAAATATTTTTATGTCTTTATTTACAGTATATAGAGTTTAAGTAGGTGATTTTAATCTTCCATTTTCTATAAATCTTAAGTCTTTATCGTTATTTGAATAAAAAAATTTTAAGACGATGTGGTATCGTATCTAAAAATGTTCGCAAAATAAACAGTGAATATCTACTTTAAACAATCTATAAAAGCCAAACACAACAAAATGTCCTAGAGAAAAAATATATATAAACTGTTACTTCTATAACTTTCACATTAAAGACATTCTCTCTCTTACTACGTTTACAATCAAACCACGTCATATTTTCCTCTATGTGCTCAAACTGCTGTCTGTTCAGAAATATATTTAAATGTTATCTAATAACAAAACATATTTACTAACACATTTTTGTTAATTTGTATTCCTTATAATTTATTTTTATATCTTATAATTAACATATTACTAGTCATTATACTGCTATTACAATACAATTATAATTAAAGTTAATTTCTTACGCATAACATAACTTATGTATACATATGTAGAATAGTTCTTATTAGATAAAAAAAAAATTATATATTCTGAAGTCTCGATCATGGAGTTCAATGACCATTAAAGTGGCCAATTTGAACAGATGAATTATTTGCATTCTGTTTCATCACTTTGAATAAGTCGTATTGCATGCTTTCCATAACTTTCAGTGCTTTCTCTTTAGGAAGCTCCATTAATGAAGAATATATATAATGTCCAAATGCATGACATACACTTTCGCGGCTACTTTGACCCCGCGAGGAAGCAAGGCGTGCTCTTTTTAGAGGCGGTGGTGGTGGCGGCGTTGTCACTCCAATGTCAGATGAAGAGTCTGATAGATTATTAACCGAACTATTCTGGTGTTCTGGTGGATCCGTTTCTTTTCTTGTTGATGGAATTGCACGCATGCTATCCAAATTACGCACCTCAATACTGTTTACAAATTGTTGTGGCATTGTCATTATAGGCGTAGAATTTTGTATTTGTTGATACAAGGAAGAGGAATGTGAATTATTTTGTTTACTACAATATGTTCATAAAATATATATAATATAAAATATTTAAATAGTGGTAAATATATTGAAATAATTTACATACATGTTACGCTGAAAATTATTTGTATAATTAGCATTGTCTAAATGATCCTCCTGGCTACCATCACCACTTTCACTAAATAAATATTAATAAAATATATGTTTTTATAATTTAAAACTCTGGGTATTGCATAAAAATTACGTTTCTTCTGATACGCGCTCTTCTTCCTCTTCTTCTTCCATTTTCACACTAACCAAATTATTTGGCAATGTTGAACCCATTAGCGTCGTAGTCGAAGATGAGACATTACTTCCAGAATATACGAATTCATTTGCTACTGATGAATTCATTGAGCCGTTATCTTGACCAGCCATTAGACGTTTATACGAACGACGAGATCGTATATGATCGTTTAAGAAGCCCAATTCTGCGAATAATGGCCAAGGTGACTCTATTATACGACCTGGATGCTCTTCTCGTAAATTCTCTAGACGACGTTTCTCCAAATTAAAACGATTACGTAACTGTAACATACGATCCTTAAGCAACGATACTAGAAAAATTATACATTGAAATGAAATCTGTTTTTGATGCACATTTTAAAGAACTTACAACCTAAAACTAAATATAGTATAATTTATAGATACTTAATATTACTATAAACATATAAAAATATTTCTTAATTATCAATATGACATAAGAATTAAATTTAGACTGTACTGCACACTGTGATAATCATTTTCGTTCAGGTAAAAACCACAAAATATGATATATAAAAAGTCCATAGTTATCATCAAGTTAATTTGTCATAAAATAATGTTTATCTTTAGTTCAAAACTTTAAAAAATAGAACCATATGAGCTGACAGAATGTAATTTTCATCTATAAGACTATATCTCTGTATATTATAACTACACTGTTTAATTTTATTTTTCTTCATTTAGCAAATAAATTAACTACTCCTGTAACATTGTTCCTACTCGATCTATTTATTATATGTAAGTATTTTATTATATAATTAATTTAACACAATATAGTACAATACTTAAGAGAGATTTGTGTCTCATATATAGACACTTGAAGGAAAACTTCATAAACTGATTTATAAAACTTTTCAAAGCCACTATAGCCTATAAGACGACAGATATTTGGATTTATTAAAAACATGACTAAAAATAATTTATTATGAACAATTTTCAAAATATATTGAAATAATACAAATCATAAAGATTATATAAAAATAGTTAGGTTATAAAAATATAATCTTTCCACTTCATATGTTTCTTAATTAAAATTTATGATAAAATAATAATTTACATTCATTATTCATTTACTAATTTAAATAATAATAGAAACTATTTAAAACAATTTATTCAAATTACAATCAATTTTATATACATATATATATATGTACATATACGTGTATATATTACATGACTAATATGTTTATACGACGACTTCAATATAATAAAATTAAGCACATAACAACAGTAATTTGTAAATTAATACTTTAATAAACACAAATAAACACTATCTAATTTTTATTTGTTTAATATAAAGTAAACAATACATACAACTGATAAATAAAGTATAACAATAGATACAATAAGAAAATATATTTTATTTGAACAATGTATAACGTATAATATGTATATAAATCAATAATCATTATAGTGTATCTCATACTTATTTATATATACCAAACGTAAGCAATATATGGCGTTTAACAAAATAAAATACCATATATTATAATTAATTTAACAAAAATATTAAAATTTTATATAAAACATAAATATTACCATCGTAGCCTAACTGATTTGATATTTGTTGCCACTCTCTCGCTATATAAAATTTGTCCCGGAATAGATTATCATTGCGGTCATAAAATGCTGGCCGACTGCGAAATTCACGCACAAGGCTCAAGTCAAACTCTCCCATTTGAATGGGTCGACCGCGTTTCAATTTTAAGTTATCTATGTTAGAAGCCAGCGTGTATTTCTTAAACAAATAAAAAATTTAAATTGTCACATTAAATAATTTTATATATGAGTTTTTTAACAATGGTAGGCAAAATCCAGTGATAATACATGTATACACTTAAAATTTTCTTTCTATACATTGAAGTTTTATATTTTTTATTTTTTAACAACAAAAAAAAATCACTTTTTTTCTTATAAATAAACATTAATTAAAAACTGATGCTAAAAATATATTTAGTACTCAATTTTTTTTATATGACATTACGAACATTTTATTTATTTGGAATAAGCAATTATTTTTATTTACCGTAAAAAACTATTTATGCAAAAAACAAAAAAATTATTAAAATTATGAGACGGCAGACAACAACAAAACAAATGCCGCTCAAATAAATTTGCAAAATCTCAATTTTTTATTTCCCTGATTCTTTGTGCAAGAAACACAGTGTTGCCACCATTTATTATTTTTATTAAACAAAACACAAGTTGGATTTATTTTCAATTAGTACATATTCAATTTCATTAGATACACGTCATTAATTCAAAATTTACTAATTTCACTAAAATTATTTAAATTATTTTACTTTGTGAGCTAGAGTATTTCTTTTAATTATAAATGTCGATATGACATTAAATTTATATGACTCTCTTCAAACGAATTAAAAACAAAAAAAAAACTATTATATTAACTTTTTTTTAAAATGTCTAATTTATGTTAAAAAATTTGTTTTTAATTTAAATCGCTTATAAAAAATATTTGTATTCTAGTGAATGTAAAGAAATTTCTTGCCTGCCTAGCAACAAAAATTTAGACTTCATTTTGTAACTGTAGTTAAAAATATGACAAACAAAGTTGACTATACAAACATTATTTGAGAAGGGTTGCTTGCTCATTACGGAATAGTTCGTTCAAGTGATTCTGCATATTATTATCATATATTTTATATACATATGCATGAATGGGTGAGATACAAACTTGATTTAAAATTGTGTATACTGTAAACTGTTGTCTTTTTATTTTATACTATTTGAACAAAACAATTTAGAAAATTTTTTGTTAAAATTATTTTTCAGAATGCTTTTTAATATATTTAACTAAATATACATTTATTTTAATTATGTCATGTATCACATTTCTGTAGGATGTATTTATTACAATAATTAAGTACTGCATTACTAATTAATATACTACCTATTATGTTAAAAATGTCTTCATAAATTTTTTTCATTGTATGTTTATATTCTATATTTATATTAAATTATATTTATATTATATTTATAATATATTTATACTATATTTATATTTATAATATATTTATACTATATTTATATTTATACAATATTTATACTATATTTATATTTACATTATATATATGTTATATTTAAATTAAATTTATATAATATTTATATTATATTTATATTATACTACACATATAGATACAAATATTTACATCTAATGTGAAGTTCTATTTTTGATACACCTTTTAAACAAATATTTATATTTTTTTGTATAATATATTATATATTCATGTATTTTATATATTAACATATTTATATACTCATGTTTAATATATTGTATTTTATATATTTATAAATTTGAATAGGCTCTAGTGAACACTATATATAGAATTTAAAAAAAAACGTGACGTTTGTAATTTTTAATATTTTTGTATTTAATATTGCAGACTTCTTTTTGTCTTCTTCGTTAGGTCACATTATGTTAATAGTTTGGTTAAGTTGAGTTATTTATTTACATATTTTATATTATATATTTATTATATACATTATTATATATTATTTTTTATATATATTATTTTGTATATATATTATTTATTATATATATTATTTATTATATATATTATTTTTTATATTTATTATTTATTGTATATATTATTATTAAACATATTATTGATTATATATTTATTCATTTATTTAATAATATAAAACGTTAAAGTAAGTAAGAAAACTTATGAACCCATTTAATTGAGTATTATTAGCAAGAAGTGTTTCTCATAGCACACAATTTTTTATATTACAATTCAAGCTTATTTTTATTTTGTACTTTATTTTTATATTGCAATAATTATATGCTCTTTTATATGTATTTCTTAATTTATTTTATATTAACTTATGTTAACATTACATTATATGGCATCACTGTTTTCAACTTTATTTAGCGCTCTCAAAAAAAAACACCAAAAGATAAAAAAGAAAAATGGAAAATATTATAAAAGCGCACACAACACACTCTTGTATTGCTTTGTAATAATATAAAACAACAGAATAGAAAAAATCTATGTCAAAATAAAATTTTAATTAATTTTTTTTCTGAACTTTGCCTTTTAATTATTGTATTATATTTTTTTTTGTTTACAAATATTAAATAGTTTCTTACTTACATTTTATAACTAATCTTTTAAAATAATAATTTATATTTGAAAAAAATATTTAACTTTATCTTGTTTTAATAAAAAAAAAATATATATTTTTATTTTTAAGAAAGAAATATTAAAATACAAAATTTCAACCCGCGACGTAACCTCACACAACTAAGGACTGTTAAAAACTAAAGTAATGACGTTACTGCTACGTTTTTAATGTTAAAAATGAATATATGCATATAATATATACAATATTTTCTTATATATATATTGTAATATAAAATAAAACAGAAAATCCAAACACACATACAAACACATTTCATTCTCCGAAGTTCACACGTACACACTTTTGTGGTTCATTTGCTCTCAGCTTGTATAAATTTTCCTACTTGCTTTGCATCTGTGCTCGTTAATTTTATTATTTTACCTGAATTAATATAAGCAAATGACACAGCAAGCAACCATTTTTTTTTCTTTTAAAATATTTAATAAATTTCCCTTTAAAATAATATATATTTTTTATTAAAAAAAAAAATTAAATAAGATAATTATTTTCATTTTTAAAGTAAATTGAATTAAAAGAAAACATATTTTAAAATATAACAAATGTAAGAATAAAATTTTTCTTGACAACTCGCGCTCATTTTATAAAGTATAAAGTGTGTGAGCGAGCACATGAAACACGTTCACACAAACAAAAAATAAAAAAAAAACGAATGCAAGCGTGCGACTGTGGAACAAATACATGTAAATATTTTTAAATGCTTTAATAAAATAAATGTTTAGGAATAATTTTTACCCATTTTTATGTTTAAAAATAATAAAATAATTCAATTATATTTTATAACAAACGCAAAAAAAAAATATTAAAATTTATATGATGTGTGTGATGCATTTTACACACACACACATTTTTCAATTGACATTATTTTACAAACTTAAACTGAAATAATAATTTTATTTTGTTTTGTAATTAATTTCAATAAAAAAAAATATACATACGAAACTAAATATATATTTAATCACCTTAATTCATGGTTCTTAAAATTGATTTTAAATTTTATATAATACGCATTGAATATTCTGATTTAATTATTATTTTTCCATAAGAAAATATCTATGCTAACTTTCGTCATGTTTGTTGAATTAATTTGATAAATAAGTCGGCAAGCAGAGAGTGTGAGCTGTGGCTAAAAACATGCTATCGCACAAGCAAACACTGTACACACTGTAGAGTTGTAAAAAGAGCACTTTGCGCGTTAAGCAAAAACAAATATGATTATATTTTTGCATGTGTTAGTGAAAAATATATTATTTGCTTTGAGTTTTTATATTTAATACTTTTATATGATTATGCAAATGTGTTATATATAATTAAATATTTATATATATGCACATAAATATTTCGTTGGAGATAAATATTTTAATGTTATACATACATTTTTTTAAACTAATAATAAATACTGGAAATATTTATTAAAAAAAAAAATAACAACATTTGTTTTTTTCAAGACAGGCTGCATGCGTTTGCTATAATTTAAAAATTTACTGGAATCTAAGAAATAATTTATATCAATTACTGAATTTTCACCTGCAATTTTTTGTGCCAACCTAATTTTTGTTATAATTATTTAATAATTCATTTGAAAAAAAAAAAATGGCATTCATATTTTAAATGTGATTGCAATATTATAATAAGTAGCGTCTTCCTTTTTAAATTCTATTCGCTTTTGAGCTAACAAATGATAGAAGAGAGAAGTAAATAAGAATGTATTGGTGAGTTGTCCGGCATAACGCGCTCGCTCTCATCAAATGCCGTTAATCGTTTCTGCTTGATGTTTTTGTTTCTCAATTTCACTTATTTAATATAATTAATTGAATTTGTTTTTTATTTTATATAATAGGTACTGGGGAAAAATCAATTTAATAATGAGTAAACGAAGAGTAACAAGTACAAAAAAAAAAAAAATAATAATAATTATTATTACAGAAAAAGTATACATTCAACAATGATTTTTTGTTATTTTTTATTATGGCCATTGTTAAAAATTTTATTTGAATTGTTATTACAATTCATTAAGAAACAAAAAAAAAAATTTTTTTTACTTGTTTTTTGTACACATTTTTAAATTACAATTATCTTTGAATATTTATAAAGAATTTAAAAATAATATTTAAATTTTTTATTACGTATCGATATTGTCAAAAACTAAAATACAACTTAATTGAAGTGCTTTAAAAGAAATAATGACAATAAATTGTAATGCCAATAATTTTGGAATTTTTTTTTTTTAAAAATGAAAAATATCGTAATAATGTTTTAAGGCAATAATTAAGTAACTTAATGTAAACAAATAATAGCTTGAATTACTGAAGTTCTATAAAAATGTTTAAATTATGACATACATTTTCTAGACACATTTTATTTTTAATTTTCCTAGAGCAGAACAAATATGAAAAAAGAATAACACAAAAAGCAATTATTTTTGTATTTCTTTATTGCCAGGTACAAACATATTTATAAAAACAAAAACTGAAAATGCTTCCCCCAACTACTATAACATGTATCGTTGATTTAGGCTTTGACTGTACTACTTAACACAAGATTATGATTTTAATTTAGTAAAGGATCCATCAG